CCAGTGGGTAAGGTTGGTTCAGTGGGTTGTGTAGGCTTCCTGGTGGAGGGGACTGGTGCCTGTGTTCTGGTGGTTGAGGCTGGATCTTGTCTTTCTGGTGGGCAGGTCCACGTCTGGTGGTGTGTTTTGGGGTGTCTGTGACCTTATTATGATTTTAGGCAGCCTCTCTGCTAATGGGTGGAGTTGTGTTCCTGTCATGCTAGTTGTTTGGCATAGGGTGTCCAGCACTGTAGCTTGCCGGTCATTGAGTGGAACTGGGTCTTAGCGTTGAGATGGAGATCTCTGGGAGACCTTTCACTGTTTGATATTATGTGGAGCCGAGAGGTCTCTGGTGGACCAATGTCCTGAACTCGGCTCTCCCACCTCAGAGGCAGAGGGCTGACACAAAGCCGGAGCAACAAGATCCTGTTAGCCACACAGCTCCGAAGAAAAGGGAGAACAAAATGAAATAAATAAATAAATAAAATAACATTATTAAAATTAAAAAAAAAGTTTATTAAAAAGTAAAAAAAACTGGACAGACAGAACTCGAGGACAAATGGTAAAAGCAAAGCTGTACAGACAAAATCACGCAAAGAAGCATACACATACACATTCACAAAAAGAGAAAAAGGAAAAAATATATACATATCTATATATTAAAAAAAAAGGGAAGAGAGCAACCAAATCAATAAACAAATCTACCAACGATAAGAAACTCTAAATACTAAATGAAGATAAACATAAACCAGAAACAAATTATTTGCAGAAAGTAAACCCCAAGTCTACAGGTGCTCCCGAAGTCTACTGCCTCAATTTGGGGATGATTCGTTGTCTCTTCTGGTATTCCAGAGATGCTGGGTACATCACGTTGATTGTGGAGATTTAATCCGCTACTCCTGAGGCTGCTGGGAGAATTCTCCCTTTTTCTTCTTTGTTCGCACAGCTCCCGGGGTTAGCTTTGGATTTGGCCTCGTCTCTGCGTGTAGGTCGCCAGAGGGCATCTGTTCTTCACTCAGACAGGACAGGGTTAAAGGAGCAGCTGATTCGGGGGCTCTGGCTCACTCAGGCGGGGCGGGGGGGGGGGCACGGAGTGCAGCGCAGGTCTGCGGCGGCAGAGGCCAGCGTGACGTTGCAGCAGCCTGAGGCACGCCGTGCGTTCTCCCGGGGAAGTTGTCCCTGAATCACTGGACCCTGGCAGTGACAGGCTGCACAGGCTCCCAGGAGGGGCGGTGTGGATAGTGACCTGTGCTCGCACACAGGTTTCTTGGAGGCGGCAGTAGCAGCCTTAGCATCTCATGCCCGTCTCTGGGGTCCGCGCTTTTAGCGGCGGCTCGCGCCCGTCTCTGGAGCTCCTTTAAGCATCGCTCTTAATCCCCTCTCCTCGCGCACCAGGAAACAAAGAGGGAAGAAAAAGTCTCTTGCCTCTTAGGCAGGTCCAGACCTTTTCCCGGACTCCCTCCCGGCTAGCCGTCGTGCACTAGCCCCTTCAAGCTGTGTTCACGCCACCAACCCCAGTCCTCTCCCTCTCTCCGACCAAAGCCCGAGCCTCAGCTCCCCGTCTGCGCCCGACCCGGCGGGTGAGCAGACAAGCCTCTCGGGCTGGTGAGCGCCGGTCGGCACCATCCTTTGTGTGGGAATCTCTCCGCTTTGCCCTCCGCACCCCTGTTGCTGTGCTCTCCTCCGCGGCCCCGAAGCTCCCCCACTCCGCCTCCTGCAGTCTCCGCCCGCGAAGGGCCTTCCTAGTGTGTGGAAACCTTTCCTCCTTCACAGCTCCCTCCCACTGGTGCAGGTCCCGTCCCTATTCTTTTGTCTCTGTTTATTCTTTTTTCTGTTGCCCTACCCAGGTACGTGGGGAGTTTCTTGCCTTTTGGGAGGTCTGAGGTCTTCTGCCTTTGTTCAGTAGGTGTTCTGTAGGAGTTGTTCCACCTGTAAATGTATTTCTGATGTATTTGTGGGGAGGAAGGTGATCTCCGCGTCTTACTCTTCCGCCATCTTGAAGGTCTCTCCCAGATTTCCAGACAGTATTTTCAAGACAATAATCATGGAAAATCTTAGTGAGGTATCAGATCCTGAGGGCTTTGTGTGTGCACCTGTGGCTATATATGCAGACCCCTCTGCATAAGTGGCCAAATGCATCCTTTAAAACATCTTCTGAATCTAAAGGCTGGAATATGACCAAGGTCATGCCATGTTCCCGAGGGCACTCTACATCACTTTACTGGTTGATGTGGAGTATAAAGACCTGGCCCCCTAGCTTTGATTTGAGACATCTCTGGAAAATCTATTCCAGCTCCAGAGTGCCCTATAAAAAATGGTAGAAAAATACTGTAATTGCACTGGAGTTCAACATTTCCCTCTGCTCAATCCTGTTTTATTCACTCCCTCAACAATATTATCCTGAGAGTACTCCCCCAATCAACTTATTGCATTAAATTTTTTTTAGAAAGGTAATAGACTGAAGGGGTCTTGAAATCCAACCTCCTACCCAGTCACTTTAGAAATCCCCTCAGTGATATCCTTAAGAGAGAATCAAGTGGCCTTTTGTTGAAACTTCTCAATGTTTGGGGTTCCACATTAACTCACACAGGAGTTAAGAGGAGGTGGTGCCACATCAGGGAGGCCAATCTCTGACACCAGGGTAGCCATGGAACTCGGTAAGGTGATGAACCGTGGGTCAGAAAAAGAGTACAACTTCTTGGAAGGGACAAAAGGATGGTATGGAAACGTATTAAAATGTGATAGTCCAGTAAATATTAGTGTCCAAGAGCTAGCAGGAAAAAACCACCGGATAGTATGGCATCATTTTCCTTGCAGAGCCAAGCTAATAAAGAAATATAGTGGGCCATCCTGCCAAGAGTGGTATAGAAACAACACAGAGAATTTATGATAAAAGGCCAAGGAAATGGGCAAGTGAAAAGGAGTTAAGAATACAAGGACACTACAGAGAGAACCGTTAAACAAGCATCGTGTTCCTGGTTTATCTCCTTTGCACACCGAGCTCCCAGAGGCTTCCAACAGAGCTCAGTAAGGAGAAGATTGACACAAAGAAAGCTTGGACTGTCAAATATCTAGCATGGCAGGGAAAAGTAGAAGGACAGCCTCTGAAACATGCAGTCAGCCGATTTCTAGTAGTCAATCAGGATGGTAATTTTTGCAGTTACTGTTGGCAGACATGGTCACCAAACTTCATGATGATGGTCTAAATTACTCTGGGCAAAGCCAAGATGAAGGGTAAGGGAGCTGGTGATAAGTTGGTGTAGGTCTTCTTCTGGTGGGAGAACCTCCATACAGGAATTTCAGGTGACATCAGAGAATGTATGGATTGTTCAAGTAAACTCCAAAAAGGGGACAGGTGATTTGTATAAGTGCGTTACATGTCCGGGACAAGACAATAGGGAGTGATGAGCACCATGGACCTCTCTTACGCTTTACCTAGCAGGAGCATTTTCAAACACTTTGCTGTCTAAAATATTGTGTTTATGGCTGAACTTGACTCCCAGGCTGCGAATGTGCAACCCCCATTGTGAAAGATGAAGACCTTCCCAGATTATCTCAGGCAATCCCCTGCTGCTGCCATTGCGCCCACTCACAACTGAATTGGTGCTCTCACAATTACGTTTATGTTGTATTCCACGTCAGAGAACAACCTCCCACGTACCCCTTTCTGTGTCGTTGCTGCCACCATTGCTATCACCATTTCTAGCTAATTAAAATAAGTCAGTGCAACCGCCAAGATGGAGGGGAAGAAACTGACCAAGTGGAAAAAGAAGAATGTTGAATAACATTAAGCAGAAAAAGTGAAGGGCACAGTGAAGAGCTCCAAGACTGTTCAGATAGATGCAACATCCCAGCTCTTTATATAGAATCAGACCTCAGCATCTAAAATCACGTTCTCCTTCTTGAAGAAAAGGAAGGCATGGACATCTGTTGAATACCTGGACGGTGCCAAGCAAATTCCAGCTACCTTTCCTAGAAGGAACCAGAAGAAAGTAGGGTGGGGATGGGACCATAATTTTTCCTGTGGGCCATGCAGACTCTGATTCTCAGGCCACGTAATCTTAGCTGCCCAGCTGATTTTTGTTATTTTACAAGTCATCATGCTCTTGAAAACAGGAATGCAGGAACCGAAGGAAGAATCCATACATTAAATGTTTGTAACTAATAATAATACAGAATAAAATGAAGAAAACATAAAGTGAAACTGAAAACCTGGACGAGAAATTTACTTCTAAGCAAGGCCTTGTTTGACTGATGCCGTACACTGCTCAGTTCTCTGAGGCTGTGATCAAAGGGCCATCCAGGCACCAAGTGGAGATGGAAGTGGGAGGAGAGGCAACAAATTCAAAATCAAAGCCAATGGAGCCATTGCCAATGGGACCACCCTTACCTCACACTGAAAAAGAATGGAGGGTTATTTTTAAAGCAGGAAGATCCTCCAGATTGTTTCCCATTCACTTTACAGACAAAGTCACTGAGGCCTGCCGTGGTTACATGATGAGACCAAGTTTACATGCCGATTATCTGCTGGGGACACTAAGCTATATCGCAGCTTCTATTTCAAACTTCATCTCCAATTCATTACATAATTTTGCCTCATTTCTGAGATTATTTATGCCTCAGCCTCTCCCTCATTTTAAAAGACCCCTTCAACTCCTAAAACTCTACATTGATTTATTTCACAAAGATGTACTGAGCACTTAATGTGCACCCAGCCCTATTCTAGGTGCTGGAGATAAAGTGGAGAAGCGTCAGTGGAGAACAAGGCAGATAAACCAGGAATTTATGTTCCAAAAGGAAGATGTTTGGTAACATTAGTTGGCCAAGAATATCAAATTTATTAATATCCTTTCATTGAAGTTAATTTTTCTTTCTTTTTTTTTTTTTGCCGTACGCGGGCCTCTCACTGTTGTGGCCTCTCCCGTTGTGAAGCACAGGCTCCGGACGCGCAGGCTCAGCGGCCATGGCTCACGGGCCCAGCCGCTCCGCGGCATGTGGGATCTTCCCGGACCGGGGCACGAACCCGCGTCCCCTGCATCGGCAGGCGGACTCTCAACCATTGTGCCACCAGGGAAGCCTGAAGTTAATTTTTCCATGGCACTTAAATTATCTTATTTCTTTACATAGGAGTTCTTATATAAAAATAATTAAGGCTTTCTTAGAAACCAAATAGAGACCTCAGTTTGCTCCCCCCACCCCCTGGCTTTTCCTGGGCAACACAGCCCTTGTCCCGTGGGACATGCCATGGGGCTGGTATCCTGAATGAGCCAACCCTAGTGGCCCTGTGAGTTCAGGGACTCAGACACTGGGAGCCATGTACAAGCCACCTAACAGAAATGGCATCACTTATCAAAGTCACATTTGGGCCGTAATGAGGTCTGAACTCGGCTGGCTGATAAAGCTAGGCCAAACTCCCCCCTTTGCTGTTATCTACTTCAACTCATTTACTGGGGGCTTGTGGGGACCCCGAGAGAATGCACAATTCCCGGGCACCATTGGGGTTCAAACACATGAACACATCTAATGGAAAGGGAAGGGAGAAGGGGAGGCAACCTGAGTCAGTTTGCATGGAGGGAAGGCAGGCCACCTGAGAAAGTCCTCACCATGAGGGAAAGAGCCTGGAGTGTGAACCGGACCCAGCATCAGGCCCTGAAATCCAAGGGAAGTCATGGTTCTGGCTGAAGCTGGTGGCAGATATCTGAATGCTCCCATCTCAGCTCTGGAATGTATTTCATTGAAAGGGGGAGGGGATGGAGGAAAACTTTGCAAACTTTTATGGAGTTGGTGGGGAGGTGAGTATCAGAGGGAATGGGACTTTATTCTTACTCACCAGCTAGTAAAGCGTGGGAATCTGTCGGTTACAACAGCACCAAATATCCTAGTTTCCTTTTAAGGCTGTCAGGAGATATCTGATCTGCCAGAACCAGTCCTGCTACCCTTTCTCTGACCCAGTGATCAGAGGCCAGAAATGTGGTGCCATCAAGCATCGGAGCCTCCATGGTTACAGAGAAGTGGGCTCTCCCTGTGCAGAGGAATAGGAAGCAGTTCATAACCACCATGTCCGCTCAGGTCCTTCACCCCATCATGAAAGCCATGTCTGCTATCCAAAGCCATCCCTTGCTTTAGCAAAGATGACAGGAAGCCTTTACTCTATTTGTATATCCAGTGTGAGCCTTGGCATCCACATTCAAATGCTGTCTTTATTGTACTCTGCCCTCCTCCAGCCAGAGAGGATGACAAGCACAGCCTACCATGGGGATCTTTTCATGTTTCTAATCATCCCAGACATGCCTCTGGTTTTCCTCCCTGGCCCTCCAAGCTTACGATCTGTTTCCTTCTGTGGTGAAGTTGGGTAAATCCCGCGGCCTGGTGTGGAGAGCCGTGAGTCATGAGTCTCTGCTGCTTCGCCCGTAAGTCCCAAACAGCCCAGTGGGATACAGCTCTGACCACCCTACCCCCCAGTGTTCTTCATCCACAACTGGTGCCTTCAGGAATATGTCTGTGGGAAGCAAGAGAAGTTTCAAATACAGTGGAACAGAGTCATTGACATTTTTTTCTTTCTGTGCCGGACTGCAAGAGAGTCCCAAAGGCTGGTTGACTCCCCAATTAAGTAGGCACAGAGAGAGACCTGAGTCCAACTGCTGAGCCATTTTAATCTGTTTTAGATCTGGTTTGCTCAGGATATGGAAAGGAACAAGGCTCCCAGTGGAGCTATCATGTAGCCAAGGTCTAGAAGTACTTTTTTTTTTTTTTTTTTTTTTTTGGGGTACGCGGGCCTCTCACTGTTGTGGCCTCTCTGGCTGCGGAGCACAGGCTCCAGACGCGCAGGCTCAGCGGCCATGGCTCACAGGCCCAGCCACTCCACGGCATGTGGGATCCTCCCGGATCGGGGCACAAACCCGCGCCCCCTGCATCGGCAGGCGGACTCTCAACCACTGTGCCACCAGGGAAGCCCTAGAAGTATTTTTTTAATACATGAAATTTAGAAAGAATTTGAGTATTTTATGCTGGAGAGACAGATGGTTGAGTGAAATGGTTGGGGAAAAGAAACATTCAGTTCAAGTGATAGCAAAGGACATTTAAGTGATCTAAATGTTTGTCAACTGACTCACTACGTCCACTCTCACCTGCTTGAAATCGATATGTTCAAGTCAAACACAGTCGTCCGAGTGTGGAGAAAGAACTGAAACCTGAAATGGCAGCTGGGGAGGGAGAGAAGAATCGGACAGAGAGGCAGGACAGGGAAGCTTTTTCCACTCAGTGAGACACCTAAAACAAGTTGTTAATCCCCCTAGAGTTAGCTTTTAAATTCTGTGATCCAATGGCAAGCTTTGGTTCATCGAGACATCATGAAAAACGGTTAAATACTGATGACAGTGTATGCATTTTTGGGAAAAATGTAAGAACGTGTCTGTTAGAACAAATGCTTTCTCTTTTTGCTTAACCTTGAATTTCTCAGGATGCAGACGTACTACTCTGTACAGAAGGAATGGACAAGGCCGAGCATGCTGTTTTCCTCACTTTTTAAGGCGTTCCCTTAAGACACCTGTGTCAAGCCCTTTTCATTCTGAGTCATTTGAGTTCTATTCCAAAAACAGAAAAGAGCCCTTTGATTTAACATTGTTTTTCACCAGATGCCTGCAAGTTGGGAGCTGTCTGGCGCTAAAAGTACTCCTGATGCTTGCTACCTTCTGAGGTGGGTTCACAGAGGCGTTACCACCTCATTAGGCCCTGCCCTGAGTGCAACATGGAAGTAGGTGCCGTCCCAGTGAGAGTGAAGGGTTGGAGATCCACTGGCCACAGGTGAGTCTGCACAGCTGTGTGGACAGCAGTGTACCCAGGGGCCAATTTCTGGCACCCCTCAGTCACTGCCACTGTGCAACCGAGGACACGTTGGATCTTGTGACCAACTCCATGCTTGTAGACAGATGGAAAGGACTCATACAGGCTCTTTACGATCTCCTCTGGAAAGGGGCTCATGAGCAGTGACCACTTCTGTTGTCATCCTTAATGCGGTAGAGGGATTACAAAAATGCCCCCGGTCCTTGCCCTCTCCCTGTGGCCACACCTTTGCAACGTGAATTTGCATTTCCTCCTGTTGATAAGTGAAGTTAATTTCCCCACCCTTTAAATCTGGCCTGGCTCTATGACTCACTTTGATCAACAGAATGTGGGGTAAGTGATGATGTGCCAGTTCTAAGCCTCAGCGTGGAGAGGCACTGAGCACTTGCACACTCTCCTGAACTCTATGACTACATGAACAAGCTGGGACTGCTGAATGCAAGAGACGCACAGCCCAGTCCCACGGTCACCCCTGCTGACAGACAAACAACTGCCAGACTTGTGAGAAAGTGAGGCCTTCCTAGACCAAGCAGCCCTCGGCCAACCTGCTGGCTGACCGCAGATACATGAGTGAGCCAAACCAAGATCAGCCAAACTTGGCCCTAGTCAGCAGAACTGCCCAGCTGACCTGTAGACTTGTGAGCAATAATAAACGCTTGTTGTTTAAGTCACTAAGTTTTGGGGTGACTTGTTATACAGCAATAGTCAGCTGATGTACTTATTCATCTAAGGGAGAGGACATGTGCATGACAGGGTGGTTCAACTCTGCCCTTCATGCATTCACATACTCATTTATTCTACAGATATTGGTTAAACTCCTACAGAAATCAGGTACCATTCCAAGTTCTGGGGACGCAATGTCCCTGCTCTCTTAAAGTCTGCATTCCAACGGGTGAAGACCAACTACAAATAAATAAATAAATGAGTAAATAAATAAAAATATCAGCTAGTAGTAAGCAATATACAGACTCTTTGAAAGGGTATATGATAAAGAGTAACTATGTGGTTACCTTAGGTTTATGGCCAGGGAAGTCTCATTGCAGAAACATTTAGATTGAGATCTGAACACCAGCATAGAATGAGCCATGTGAAGATGGGGGGAACAGCACTCTAAGCAGAGGGAAGAGCAAGTGCAAAAGCCCTGAGGCTGGAATATGGGGTGTCTCGAGAACAGCGAGAAGACTGTGTATCTAGAGCACGATGGGAAAGGCAAGGCGGGTGGGCGGGGGCAAAGAACAGAGCATGTAGGGCTTTTAAGCCGGGGAAAAGAATTTGGATTTTATGCTAAATGCACGAAGCAAGCCATCGTCGTTTCTTAAATCAAGAGAGAGCAACACAATTTGATTAATGTTTAAATGAATCCCTCTGGCTGATGGGCATAGAGTGGTTATTAAGGAGCAGAAGTGGAAGAAGGGAATCAGTTAAGAAGTTCCTGCAATAATTTAGCCTGAGCCAGAGTTATAGTAATGGAGATTAAGAGAAGTATGTTTTAGGGGAAGAAGTGACAGGACTTGGGATGAATTGGATGTGGGAGATAAAGGAGAGAGAGGAATCAAGGGTAACATCTAGATCTTTGTTCGGTAATTAAATGAGCTGAAATGCAAGAGGCTAGGGGAGGGCAGGCTTGAGGGTCTGGCAACTCGAGTCTGAGACATCTACTAGGACAGGAGAGAGACCAAGCATGTGAGGGCCACGTGGGCCTGGAGTCCTGGGGAGGGGTCAGCACTGGAGAAGTAGGTTGAGGGTCACTAGCATGAAGATGATATAAGCCTTGGGTTGCATGAGTTCACCTGAGGACAGTGACTAGAAGAGACAGGAGCCCAGGACAGAGACCTGGGACAGGCTAACATTTACGGGTTGAGCAATTGAGAAGAAGCCAACAAAGGAAGATGAGAAGGAACAACCAGCAAAGGCAGGGGCAGATGAGAAGGTACATATAGTATCACCAAAACCAAGAGGGTAGTATGGGCAAGAAGAGATTGTGGTCAATAGTGTTGAATGCTCCTGACTGATACAGAGAGCAGAAACCTTCCTGCAACCTTGAATGTGCCAAACATTCAAATACCTTTTTCCCCTTTCAGGACAATAACACATCCCAGAACATAAAATGGATTGTATGGATTGGGCTCTCTGTCTCTGCAGGCTTCTGCTACTGGATAACTGAGATTACTTAAAACCAATTACCCCCATTTTTCCTAATCCCTGTGCTCCTACATTCAGTTATTCCCCAAACTCCACCACTCTCCATAGGCCTGGAAATATAATGGTCCAGCAGGTTAGTTCATATAGATTCTCTGGAAACTCTAAGCTTCATGTGAACAAAGTTGGCATCTGTCTTGTTCACACTATATCCCAGCCTAGTACTGTACCCATCCACAAATAAATTCAAACGTTGAGTACATGAAGGAATGTCAAATCCCATTTGGTCTCCTACCATCACTGCTGCCGCACTTGGCTTCTTCTGGTAACCATGCTGTCCCTACCATATCCCCCTGTGGACAGATATAAGGCTTTTTTTCAACATTCCCCAAAGAGGTTTCTAAAGTCTGGGATCCTATCTTGCTTTTCGGTCTTTATAGGGTAGGATGTCGCAGCTGAGGCCAGGTCCCCAGTACCATTGCTGACTTCTCTGATGTGGACTTCTCATTGGCTGGTGGGACTTTCCTGGTGGCCTGCCCATCCCCATAGCTGGGACAAGTCATACCCTTAACTATCAATATGTTTAAGGGTCTCATCTCCCCAGGACCTTGCCTTTAAGATTTTTTAACTGTTTTTTTGCTGTGTAATTTTTCAGCTGCTTTGTAGTCAGTTCACACACATGCAAGGTCTGTAGGGCTGGATGCTAAGATGAGTCTGTGTCAGCTTGACCCAAAATGTTGTCTAAAAGTCAAGGTTAAAATACCTGGCACTGATATCTGGGAACATCCACATGACCTCTTGACCCCTGAAAGTGCATTACTTTTTGCCTCCAACTCTGACCTGGATGCTTATGTGTGAATTAGTATCAAAGTTTACACTTCCAGTAGTTCGTTTGGACCCTCTCTCAAAGGAAACATTCCAACCGAACTTAGAACAACTTACCTGCTAATTCCAGTGCAATTCTGGTTTCTGGGACGGTCAGGTGTTAGGAGGCAGAGCACTGAAAAGTTAACCTCCTGTGACCTGAGCAAAAGGTCATCCTTTTCACCTTTAAAATAATTTCACCTTTAATCATGAGGGGTTTTTTCAACGTTCAAAGGCTTTAGTAATTATTTGGGGCTTAACCCTGTAACTATTCTACTACCACCTTCTACTGTAAGGAGCTCATATTTCTTTGGCCCGTGAGAGGAAATTACCAGAGAAGCAAAATCAGATTTTAGCTGAAGTCAAGACACATATTAAATCTGATGCTTCACAGCTGAATACAAGCCCCTCCACCTCCAACAGGCTTCTCCTGTTGGGCAGACACTTAATAAATGCTTTTGATGAAGGTCCTTCTGTCTTAAAAGGAAATTAGATTGTTCTGACACTATCTCCCCATCACTAAACTGTCGGTTATTATCCAGCAGCCTGTGATCCTCTGGGTGTTTGCAAATTGATTGTTTAATGGTTTGCATTCCTCTATGTCCACATTTCCAGGGTCAGCAGCCACATCTGCGATTCCCAGTGTAGGTGATG